AATAAGCTTTGCTGCCCATGCTCCCACGTTTCCAAAACCCTAAGAAATACAAATATAAGATTACAATAGTCATTTTGAGTGAATTGTGCGAAATAGCGAGCAGAGGAACACAATGGTGTGCTGGAATTGAACAACTCCGAAATTTTACCTGAATTGCAAAAGTCAAATCCTTAATATTCTTTCCATATTCAGCAAGTAAAGCTTCTGTAGCATAAACGACACCACGCCCAGTTGCAGCTTCCCTACCCAATGAACCGCCAAGATCCTATGATAGAAGATGAAACAGGGTACTTCAATAAATTGAATGAAAACTCATAATATTAACCAAATTGGATAAGTCCAAAATGTAGCAGATAGGACTTAAAAAATATGTTGCAAGAACTTACTATCGGTTTTCCAGTCACAATTGCAGGTGAGTGACCATGAAACTTTGAATACTCATCCAAAATCCAGGCCATAGTCTGTATATATAAAGTATCAGTAAGCCTATTTGTTTGCAACTACTCTGTAGCTCCACAGAGAAGAAATATTTGAGATAATGACCTATATTACTAACCTGGGCATTAGTGCCCATATCAGGTGCAGGGACATCCGTATTAATTCCAATTAGATCATGAATTTTCTGGGTGAAAACACGCGTAAGGCGCTCCAACTCACTCTTGCTTAGATCTTTTGGTTTGCAGCCAATTCCACCCTTAGCTCCGCCATATGGAATATCTACTACAGCAGTCTTCCAAGTCATTAATTGAGCAAGGGCATTTACTTCGTCAAGGTCAACCTTGCAAAAGAAATTTACAATATATCTCAGTACCAAGTCCAGTGCTAGAAACAGTAATCACTTGAATACAGAGTACCAGCAAAACTAGGCGAATTGAATAAATAAGACCATGTAATGAAATTTATCATTGACATACAAGAATTGGATAGAAAAAGGCTACTGGAGATCTAGTCATGTAATGATGGAAAAACTTGACCATGATCTAGCAGATACTACACACAGTAATTCCTTGACCAGAAAATTTTTTCCAAAGATGTTGAACTCATTAATGAAAGCTAAATAAAGTAGGTATACAAACCTACACGTGTTTGTCACCAACGAAATAACCCAGATGCTATAAAATCTAAAAGGATGAGTTGAAACCTCCAAACAATAAATTTCTATCTAAATATATAAGCCCAATGATTTCTTCTTTATCTATTTTTATTATGGACAAAGCCAATGTTTCATGCTTGAAGCACCTGAAGGATTTGACCTGACACATTATGTAAAAAGTTTCGTGGAATTACAGATCTCTTATGTGATCATGGATAACATGCACATGAATGGTCGATGCATCATAATATTCTTTCAAACGACACATATACATTTGTGGTGAGGCTTAACAGAACAGATTTTGGTTAAAAGATAAGTACTAATTGGAATTAATTTGATCGGAATCTGGTACTCATTTAATACCACCGTTCTAGCTATCCCGATCTTGGCTAATTTGTACTGTATGGTAGGCGCCAAAAGAAGTCTACTCACCCTTGTTAAATTACATATAAGAGCGGGAACCTAACGTCATTGACGTTCCAACCCCCCAAAAAAGACAACACCAACAGTTTTATAAATAGAATCAAGACTCCCTAGAACACGGAACGACTCTTTAATTCGCAACCAAATAAATAATACAATCTTATACCACTAATCTATGTTACATAACTGATGATTAGAGTGGAACACCTATTCGTCTTAGCATGCATTGAAAGCTCTAGGATCACATCTGATATCTTTCTCAGAATACCAGTTTTTACCAAGCAAAAGCAAAAAGTTTATACAACCTCGGTTTTGACATAGCTGAAAGCTTTTAAAAGTGAAATTATCGAATTGCTATCTACACGAAGACATAAATTACAAAAAGACCAAATATCAAAAGCAAATAAAAATAACCTCAGGATGGTATCTGATTCCCCCTTTCATAGGACCCCGAGCATTATCATGTTGCACTCTGAACCCAACATAGGACACCAATGTTCCATCATCCTTGGGAATTGTGCATTCCACCTGATCAAACACACACAAAAAAAAATTAATCAACCTCTCATGAAAATTCAGAGAGAAAAAGAAAAATTGCTAGCGGTCTTAAAAAGAATCAATAGTAACATGAAATCGATCGCACAAGAAAGATAGAAAATTTACAAAGATAATAAATTAATCAGTAACCTTAATTTCTCTGAAAGGGATTAAAAGACTCTTCTCAAGTTTGGAGTCCAATCCAAGGATGCGAGCGGCCTGGCGAAAGTTACGGTTGGTGGCTGCAAGAGCATTCATGGCCAACACCCAGAAAGCAAAAAGTAGTAGAAGATCAAGATAATAATAGTTAAAACAGAAACGAAGACAAAAATGGGAACTACTACTTGATTGAGAATTGAGATACTATATAATAATGGCACAAGTGAAGATTTTGACTAGGACGTGACGATCTATAAAGGGTTCGGATGGTCACACAAAGGAAAGTCTATGAGTCAGTGACAGCTGATTTGGCAATTCGGGAAAACTCATTTATTATTTTCCTTTTCTGAAAATCTCAAAGACTCTCCTCAGGTTTACTTTTATAATATTACTATTATTAGTACCCACGCGGATAAGTAAAAAAAACGACCTACATCGTAAAATTTAATTTGTTATTGTTAATATCATTTTTATAACCAAACAATAAAAATATTTTGATACTCGAGTAAAGCTTATACTTCATTTGCAGAGTCAATATTTCATAAAAATAATGATACTATATAATTTGTTTGATATGAATATTCCATGAAAAATAATGATGCTATATAATTTGTTTGTTATGAAGCATGTACTTAAGGGAACATTATTGTAGCAAATGCTCATGGACATATTGCGGTGCATTTTTCAGAAGTTGTCATCCGTATTGAGGTTTATCATTAAAAAAAACATGGGTAAAAACTCAAGAATTTCTGGTCCTTAGGCGACAACTTTTGATGCAAATGAGAGACAATATATATTGTATTTGTTGCGGAAGTCAAATGTATATAGTGTGAATGAGTCACAACTACTATACCAAAAATTATGACAGCCACCAAATAATAAATAAGACAATAAAGCAACAATAAAAGGAACACCAGAATTTATGAGGTTCAGCCAATTTTGCCTACTTCCTCGGACACAACCAATATTTTATTCCACTCCAAAAATACAAGTGAAATAATACTAAAGAGAGAAGATACAAATGCCTTAAGAAGATAAGAAAGCAAATGAGAGGTGTGTATAAATCATAAACATTAGGCCTTCTTTTATAGGGAGAAATTCTTCCCAAATTAAGTCTCCCACTGATGTGGGAGTTTGCCATTTTCAACAAATCTCCACCTTGGCAAATTTCCACATCTTCAATTTTCTCTCGGTAACAAATTTTGGTTGTGTCTTCATCTTCAATCTTCAGTGTTCAACAATGTTGATCAAATCCAAACAATGTTGAAACTTGACCGCAGTCACCACCTTTGTCAGCATATCAGCAGGATTCTCTGTAGTATGAATTTTCTTCACCGTGACTCCACCTTCTTCTATGATTTCTCGTACGAAATGATACCGAACATCAATGTGCTTCGTCCTTGCATGATAAACTTGGTTCTTCGCTAATTGAATAGCACTTTGACTATCACAAAAAATTGTGATACCTTTTTGTTCAACACCAAGCTCCTTTAGCAATCCTTGAAGCCAAATTGCCTCTTTCACAGCCTCTGTAATAGCCATGTACTCTGCCTCTGTTGTAGACAAAGCAACTGTAGACTGCAAAATAGACTTTCAACTAACGGGTGTCTTTGCAAAAGTAAACACATAACCAGTAGTTGATCTTCGTTTGTCCAGATCACCCGCAAAATTCGAGTCACAATATCCAACTACAGACTGATTGCCTTCCTGCTCAAAAAATAACCCAACATCTACAGTATTATGAATATACCGTAGAATCCACTTCACAGCTTGCCAATGCTCCTTCCCTGGATTGTGCATATATCTGCTAATAACTCCAACAGCTTGTGAAATGTCAGGCCTTGTGCAAACCATTGCATACATCAAGCTACCAACANGTACCTTTGAAATATACTCTCGTTCAGCTTCATCTTTTGGCGACATAGTAGTACTTAGCTTAAAATGGGGAGCAAGTGGAGTACTAACTGGCTTAGTCTTTTCATCTATGCCAAAACGTTGTAGTACTCTTTTCAAATTCTTTCTGAGATAAACAGAGTTTCTTTGAACGTCTATCTCTTATTATCTCCATACCAAGAATTTTCTTTGCCTCACCCAGATCCTTCATCTCGAACTCCTTCTTCAGTTGAATATTCAACTTATCAATTTCTTCCGAATTCTTGGAAGCTATCAACATATCATCAACATATAGGAGAAGATATACAAAGGAACCATCTTTAAGCTTGCGCAAATATACATAATGATCGTATTTGCTTCTCTTGTACCCTTGCCGCAATATAAATTCGTCAAATCGCTTGTACCATTGTCTAGAAGATTGTTTCAATCAGTACAATGATTTTTCAAGTTTGCA